AAGACCCTTTTTTAAGACTGTAGGAAAATGTAGTGCTGCTAGCTAAAACAAGCGAAACTAAAAAGGCTGTTTTTTCTGCAAATTTTGATCTGTGAAATCATGCAGCTCAGGGTGCTCAGCGAATGCAACAATCAGGGAAGGTCTGCCTCCCTTTTGATCTGATTGGTCAGCACAGAAAAAATGCTCATCATGTAGACAGCTTGATTGCTACTTGTTGAACTTTTTTTTCTACTGAGGGTGACTGGAGAGCTCCACACAAGACAGCTATGTAGGGTACATAATGCAGGAGGTGGTCAGCATACAAAAATGTGAGTCCCATTGAAAACAATAGAATAAAGGTACCTCGGTCCACAAAAAAAAGGAATACAATTCTGACCCTCTCTATCCTCCAAAGTATTACAATGTCAAAAATGTTGGAATTTAAGGGGTTAAAGAAGAAGAGTGCTGATATGATCTAGGATGTATGTGTGTGACCTTGGTGTAGTCAAGTGGTTGGCAACCCAAATTCTAATGAACAGCCACTTTATCCTTTCAACAAAAATCTAACCACTTTGAGAGCCACAAAATTTTATGTCCATTTTACCATTTTGGCTGTAAATATGTCTCAGTATGTGCTGATGTACTAGTATAGGATAAAAAAATATATATATAATATAAATGAAAACGCCGACTTACTTTGCTCTGCTTTAAGCTTTAGCTCAGCTATTGCTGCTTCTCTCGCATCTCCAGCAGGAAACTTTTTCTCAAAAGTAGAACAGTTCCTTGTAAAATGTCTGTCAATGTTTGATTTTTTTATGAGGCTGAAGTCACTTCTCATTCAGCAGCTTCTTGTTTGAATTTTCTGTTCCAGCTTAAATGGTGCCTGAGGCACCAGAATTTAACAGCTGCACCATTTAAGTTGGAACAGGAAAATCTGAACGAGAAACCGACTTCAGCCTTGCATTTTTTTTTTTTTAGTGTTTGACAGTTTTTTGTTGCAGATTAAACATATTAGGAAGCTGGAGTGTGAATATATGCAAATAAGGCCATTCATCTGCAAGTTAGTGATATTTGTCTAAAATATTTCTTTTTACCGTTTTGACTGTTGTCTGTATTGCTAGGGTAACCAGTAGTCTGCCCGCCAATCTTCAGGGTCAAAAGTTGGTGAATTAGCAGTTAAAGGCTACGTTAACTCTGGAGGACCAATTATTTCTAAAACTGTGATAGACCAATCAGCAGAACTTTATTTTACTGCAAAAAAGGATTATTTTATTTTTACCTAAAAAATTTAATTCTGCTGTAGAGCCTCAACAGAGCAGTAAAAGAGCAGCATGCAGTCCCAGAGCCGTATGTTACCAACCACTGACGTAGTCTAAAATCCTTGCTTTTTTTTCAGTGAAATGCTGCTAATGTGGTGGACTCATTGTTGATAAACATTGTTCTCATTTTTTCCTCTTTGTTTTGAGTATCAGAGAATGTGAATATGGCATGAATGTGCATGTTGTATTGGTGGAATGTGTTGAACATTAGCAATTAGCAAAACCTGCACTGAAATAACTTGTTGGTGACTGCGTGGTTGCAGCTCTGAGCTGCCAAAACACCAAAGCTGTTGTTGTTGTTGTTGTTGGATCATAAGCACCTGCTGGAGCCGCAGACTAATTTGAAAAACTTCATGCACGATCGGTGGCAGCTCATTTTGAAACAGATCATTCTATCTTTAGGCTCTGTATTCTTCTCCTGCCGAGAATCGTCTGCACTCTGCTGCTAGTTGAGTCATCGCCCGCACGCTCCGCTTGGCTAGCAAAGTGTTTGTTTAAAGGTTGCTAAATCACATTAAAAATAGCAGCACAGTCATGAAACGTTTTCTCTTTTCTTCATGATGAGTCAAGTAGTTAAAAGGGAATTTTTCAAAATGTCCACCGTAATCCACTCAATCCTGTAATTGACATCATAAAATAGGGTCATTAGATTTTTCAGTGGTGGTGATAGGAACCAAGGATTGCAATATTTAAAATATGTATATAGTCATTTTATTTACTTCTCAAAATAAACAGTGAGCCTACCCATGTCTTCTGAGTTTTCATAGCTAATGCTGATGATAAAATAGTACTAAATCTTTAGATTTCCCTAGAATGGAGCACTAAAATCAAACAAATCTGACTGACTTGATTTACATCATAATGAGACAAAAAGTGTGGAAATCTTGAAGCATTAGTCCAATTTCCTTTGAGGATAAGATGTATGGGCTTGTTTAAAGTGGATGAGTAAGTATAAAAACTCATAGGAACTTATTGCACTTTTTGTCACACTTTATTTGGTCCCCTATAGATGATCTACAGATACTTAAATCATCACCAAACATTCTGGTGATGTTTATTTGATTATCAACAAAATGGTTAGGGTTAGGTTTACAAGACGGTGTAGGTTTTGCCTTAAGGTTAGGCTTAGGGTTAGGTTTAGGATTAGAGTTAGACTTAATAGAATTTTTCACATGCAACTTCACTCCGGTTTCCTCCCACAGTCCAAAAACATGCAGTCAGGCCAATTGGACGTGCTAAATTGCCCCTAGGTGTGAATGTGTGTGTGATTGTATATATATATGTCTGTCTGTCTGCCCTGCGATGGACTGGCGACCTGTCCAGGGTGTATCCTGCCTTCCGCCCAATGACAGCTGGGATAGGCTCCAGCACCCCACTGCGACCCAGAAGGATAAACGGTTTAGATGATGTATGTATGTATGTATGTATACATGCAACTTCAAGTTTAGTTGCATTTAGAAGGTGTTTAGTTGGATGTTACTTAAAGGTATACTGAGCATCTACAAAACACTTACAGTGGTTACAAAAGTGTTATCCACTTTTTTCCATATATTTGAAGTACTTTTAAAATCAATACTTACTTAATTCTATTACATAGCCTCAGCTTCTTTTGCTACTTTCCATTTTGCTTGATCGCAAAGAAAACATCAGGTTGCATATTTTGTTGTTCGTAGAGCTTATTTTCAAATTCTGTCCTTTAGGTAAAGCTTTCTCTGCAGCTGTCACTCTGTAGATACTAAAGAAGTATTTGCTGTTATAAATTACTACAGTAATATAAAATAGTAGATGCCAACTAATGATATGCTAGAATATTTCCTTAAATTACTTATACATATTTCATTCGCTTTTCATAAAACAATGTATTTCTAGTCCAATCTAATGCTAATGCTTAGGGTTATTTACTGAGGATATCAGAATCTTTCATAGAACTGTATATGATGTTCTTAAGTAGGCCTCTGCCCAAGTTCTTTTCTTTGTTAATGAAGCTGTATAACAGTGTTGTAAGTGGAACAACTACTCATCAACTTGGGTTAAGTCCCATTCAGATGACATTTACTGCATAAAATGTATTGTTATGTTGTGAATACTGGTGCAAACTGTTCACAAACACCTAATCATTGCTTTTTAAATTTCATTATTCAGTGCTTATGCATGTGTTATGAAGACACTATGTAGGTGGCCTACTGAATATTATAACACCCCAAATCGAAGCACCTTCAGATGCATTTTACATCCTTTCCACACTTCAGAAGTCTTCATCACTTTTATTCTTTGGTCAATTTTCCTACTGTGGTTTAGAACATGCTTTGGAGGCTCTTACTGAGAGCCAGGCTTTGTAACTGTTCGAGCAAAATAACTTTTGTCAGATTATGTGAATGCCTTCATTCATCAAAACACCCACTGGAACTTTTGTGATTGGTCAGAATATTCCCAGCACACAATATAATATTTAATCATTTCACAGAGGCTAATTTGTGTATCTCAGCGATATGCAATATCACCAAAAGCCAATACTGTGCTAACAAATAAATATTATGCAGCCCTTATTCATTACGGAAGTTGGCAGGATTGGACGAATCCCTAATTCTGGCTGAGCACCAGTAAGAACACATACTCTCTGTGTGATATTCCTCACCATAGACCTCTGGAGATTGTGTTGTTGCTTTGCAAATCACCATTAGCACCCAGATGAGTCTTGAATCTAAGCCTGTTTTATTTCTAGGAAAAATTCTTGTTGTGTAGCTGTAATAGGTTTATTGCTACACATGCTACATGCAAGCTAACACAAAAGATCAGCAGACCTCAACAAAGTACCACATGCAAACCAGCAAGCTTAGTCAAGAGTGGTGGTTAAGTTGCTTTGGCAGTTTTAGCCTACAATTTGAGTGGCTGATGTTTACACTAGTGTTGAAGTGCATAGTTAGAATAGCAGCTTTACTCTCATGTACCCTAGTGATATCAGTTAAATGGGTAGGAACGTTAGCTTGCTTGTAGCATGTATGTAGCAATATTACTATTTTGACTTTACTTAATGACAATTCAGACCAATTCATGAAACTGTTGTACAACATTAGAACGAGTTGCACAAATGAACAGCTTAGTGTTTGTTAATCATAATCATTTTGATGATTGGACTGCAAATCAAGCCATTGTCAGGTTGCTAAAATGTCAAATTTACACACACACCTATCAGACGTGAGTGTGAGCATATGGATACACCGATGATGAAACTGGACAACAAAACTGTTGTGCACTCGTTTTGCATTCAGATTGGACTGTATGCAACTTAGGTCATTGTATGTAGGACAAAAGTCGGCTTTGGAACATTTTTGTTGACCACAGGGTGTAGGGGCAATTTTGAAAATGCCATTCATTTTCTGTTACACAAAAGTCCCTTTTGGAGCGTGCCACCACCAACAAAATGACCCCTAATCTCAGAGGTCAGTTAGCAGCTGGAGGGGTTTTATGAAAGACAGTTTAGTTTACAGCCCACAAAGAGCTGTCTGACAGTAAAATCCCTGACCAAAAATGAAGTTGTAAATAAAATGCATTTGTAATTGCATTATGTGGCAAATGTCTTGTCAGCAGTGTAGGGTGGCTGTTGATCCCTATTGATGCTGGCTTTGTACTTTCATCTCATTAAAGTAACCTCTTTTTTTGCCCTTTCTTTAGAAGTGGTACAGACAAGCACTGCTCTTCTTATTAAATATAGCATTTTTAATGAGAAATAGATTATTATATGAAACATTCATTTGAAGAAAGCTGATATAGACTTTTTTTCCTTTTTTTCCAACAGAACAGCAGAAATTACATAGACAAGGTATTGAAAGCTGTTTGCCAATCAAACTGACCCCACTGAAAGACCTACGGGAAAGGTGTGGCTGTATTGTACATGACGTTCTGTAAAAGAGGCGTAAGAAAGGACAGCTTATGTGCTTTATGCATGGGTGGGGGTTGGGGTGGGGAGAGTTGGTAGGGGCGAGGTTTGGTACAGGCTGGTGATTTTTCTTCTTCTTTCATCGTGAGAGAATACATTTCTGGGGGGCAATCCTTGCAATCCTTTCCGCATGTTGTGCTAAAGTTGTCTCAATCATGGACTGAAGCTGCTCCCCATAGACTTGCGGTGATCTAAGAAAAGCATTTGGATTCCATGGCTATACCAAGGCAATGTAGCTATTTACATATATAATATACATCTTAAGTGTTTTCAGTAAAGGAGGACACTTATGGCCCCTCCCAAAATGGTTACTTTTTTCAATACATGCAGAATACAGCGTGGACTGACAAAGCTTTCCTTCTGCCCTCTTCCTACTGACTGATGGGGCATTACTGGTGAAAATCAGACGTTACAGTGTTATGTTTGCAAAACTGCGATGAAAAAACCTTTTGAAAATGGTTAAAGGGATAGGTAACAGGTAACAGGCACTTAATAAGACTGGATAAAAAGAATGGAAATCATATTAATAGCAATAATAATCAGGATTGATACTTATCAGGATGGCGTAGTGTTCCCTCTACCCCAACATTAACTCTAGTGTAAGTTACTTTAGCGCAAACTATTTTCCCAGTCAAGCTGTAGGAATAAAGCAAGTGATCAATTCGAAATGTCAAATACATTAAACCTGAACTGTACTAAGGAATAGAAGATACAAAAATTGTGTACATATGGTGTATAGTTGACCTTATATAGCCTACTCAAAGCTTTAAATATACCGTTGTTAAGCTTCGTAATTCACGGCAATGCAGAGAACTGCCATCCCTCAATCCTGAACACATTCCATCTGAGCTCTTCCATTAGAAAATTATAAAAATAAAATAAAAAAAAGCATCTGGAAAAGAAACGTATAGGAATTTTTCACAAAATAAATGTGTACAAGCCTCTCTTTATTTGTCATCCCTCTGGGAAATGTATGGCTTTATGTCAACCTCTTGCAAGTGTGATAGGATGACCCACAAAGTGTTCTCAGTGTTGAGAACAAGAATTCCAAAAAAAAAAAGAAGAAGAAGAAAAGTTTGACACATTAGCAGTCACAGGCTGTACATTTTGCGAAGCTAGGTTTACGAGTTAGCACTGATTGTTTGTCTCTGGATCGTAGATGCTGTGCTCTGGGACCAAATAGGGGACTCTACCTTGCTGAAGAACAGGGATGGAATTAAACACACCAGAGGTAGCCCGACAAACAAGACTCAGCTTAAGTCACTCACGCTCAAATGACACATCCGACTAGCATATGGCGATAAGCGTTAGCATCAACAAAACTAGAGCTATAAACAGCTGACTGTGTTTTAGAGCAAAATGACTGACTGGCTGGGTGCCTTGTAACATGCCTGTTCTCAAAATCACAGCCAGTTACACTCAGAGGGATGTTCCAGGGTATGAAAGAACACTATACAGCTAACGATTCCTTTTTGCGTCCTTAAATTATATAGACCTATAGTCTAGTGAGACGCATTCTCTATGTGTTATGACGTGTTGCTTTACAAGTCTTCAAATCAAAAGATGAAACCTCTGGTCTGCTTTGTTACATTGTTAAAAATGTTACCCAGTAAAGAATGGCAGTTTCAGATGTACCTTTGTTCCCTCTGAGTAATATCAAGGCCTCTTTGTCACCGGATGTTGAATTTAATTTTTTTTTTTTTCTTTTCTTTTCTCTTAATGCTCCGTTAGGAAGTGACAGACATGCTCGGACAAATATGGTACAGTCATGTTCTTTTTTTTTCTTTCCTTTCATTAATCTTCTTTAGTGAACTAAAAGGCTTAATCTCTGTATTTTTAGTTTCTTATTTAACAATTACACTTACAAAGTTGTTAATAGTACATCAAAAAAGCAGAACAAAAAAGGTCCCAAATGAAAAAAGGAAAATAAAAAGGATTTGTTTCTTTTTTTTTTTTGTTTTGTTCTCTCCAAACTGTTTATATTCAGTAGTAGCTTTGCTCTCTCTCTAGCTTTTCAATCTCAACAAAGTTTGGTAGTCAGATGGTCCGACTGTTTCAAGATTTCTGTGTTGTACATGTCCAAGGCATGGTTGACACGGATCATCTCGCTGTTGTTAAGCTTGAGCCGGTGCTTCAGCATACAGGAGAACAGGTCCAGCTGCGGTTTCCCGGGCGCCACTGGAGGGGCCAAGCGGTTAATCCTCTCCCGAATGTCCAGCAGCAGAAGCATGATGGAGGATGAAGAGTAGAACTGGGTCCCTTGCGTATAAGACTGGTTGACCTGCTGTACCGCGCTCCTCAACAAGTCGGCGTTGAAGCGCAGGCTGTAGCCAAACACCTGGATGTCGGAGATCTTGATATAGATCTGCCGCTTGTTGGGGTCGGACAGGTCCACCGGACCTTGGCCTGTGTCGTTGCGCAGGACGGTAGGCACCTTGGCTCGACTGCGCAGGTAGATATGCACTGTCTCAAAGAAGGTCTTCCAACGGTTGCCCAGAAGCAAGGTCCAGTTGAAGCACTGGGAATTCTGCAGCCGTACCTTTTCCCACCGAGGGTACCCATGCTCACCAAATGGCATGCTCCAACCTTCCGAGTGGCTACCACTAAACGGATTGACATAAACGAAGAACATGGGATCCACACTGCTGTTCCTCATCTGGCATATCTTCATGGACAGTCCCACCATCATGTGCAGGTAGTCCATGCGGTTCTTGTTGCTCTTGAGCGTCAGAGACATGCGCTTGCGCCAACGCGGGTCGAAGAAAGTCTCCAGACGCACCTCGTTGCTGATGAAGGTGGTGTGGATGTAGAGGCGCGAGTCCATCTTCTGCAGCAGGTACTTGAGCTCCAGGTCCTGGAAGTCCAGGTCCGTCTCAAAGCTGATGAACTGCTCGCTGCGCTCGGAGTCCACGTTCTGCGGCTCGCAGCGCCCACGGTACAGCTTGTAGCCCTTGTTGCATGAGCCACACTGCGAGATGTTGGCCAGGCTGCACATGGCACAGCTGTTGTTGCCACCAATCACGCAGGGGATGGGCCGCTGGCACAAGGTGACACCCGTGTGGCACACGCAGGTCCGCTGGCTCTCCAGGAAGGTGCCCCAGAAGCCATTCTCGTTGCAGTAGAGGAAAGATTGCACCCGGTTCAGCCACTGCAGCACAGATCTGGAATAAAAAAGAGACAAAAGTGGATAAAACGGTCCATTAAGAACATGCCGTTTAGCTTTCAGTGCTTGCTGTTACAGAGGATTAAGCAACCGTCACAGCCTGCTACTGTTTGTTACAGGCCAATCAGTAAAACAGATAATATATTCTGTCAAACGAGAGATCCAACTTTATTTCCTCATGCAAATAGTGTATCCCTTTTTTCTCCCCCCTCAGGGCACTCCCTTGTCATTCTGACAGGCTCTGGAAGTTCTCCCCATTGGATGTGAAGGAGCTCGCTTGAATTCCGATATAAGTGAGCATGTCAGGCTCAAGGTTATGATGACACGCTAGTGAACCCAGAGAGTGAAGACTGATGACCCCATCACTCTGCAGATCAAGAGGATCTCAAGCCATCGCCAATAAAAGGATCAACCAGGGAGCTGGCAGTTAAGGTGACAGTGGAAACATCCTTCACTCTGAAACTACACTTTTGTGCCAAGGCTGCTGTTGAAGAATCAAAGGCGAATGTCGTTGGCACTTAAGTGATTATGTACTGTAAAGCTTGTGATCGAGCTGAACTTTCTAATTCCGATTCAGTCAACTCTGCAGATGTCAGCATGTGAGTAACAGAGCAAAAAAATGGGATTTCTTCAGCCACTACATATTTAATGTGATCTAATATAATATTAATATCACCAATTATGCAGGCAAAGGCTTTTTTTCCCAGAAAATGCTTCACTCGTTGGGGTTTCTTTGTAAGGAACATGTGTAAAGGAATGATAAAACGTTTGGCTCATATTTTTTTATAGGTAAGTATTTCAAAAGCTACCGTGACCTCACACATCTCACACTGACGAAGAGGCCAGACAGATATTCTCAATTTCTTTATATTTCTTTCATGATGACCTCTTTAATTTCAGAATTTTTGAAAAGGGAAATAAGCAGAAAAGCTTTCTGAGATTATTCTGCAGTATAGGTACTAGTGTGGAAAAACAATAAAAAAAGGATAAACAATATGGTCAGTGGGGGAATTTGGGGGAAATGAAAAACGTCTTGACCATACTGAGTCTGACCTTATGTTTACGCTCCCAGTTCACTTTGAAAGTTCACATACTGAACACTGAACACCTCTCCAATATTGTGTACTATGTACGTCATTCTCATATTACCTTAAGGTACAGCGAGTGAATCATAGCAGGATACAGACTGTTGTTCTTGTTTTTGATGATGTTCTGTTCACTTGACAGCCTAAGCTTTTTTTACCTGTTCATAATGGATGTGTTCGGTCTATATACCCAATGCTAATATCAGAGCATTACTGAAAGTGTAATTTTACATCCAGTGCACTTCAGATTATGCTGCCGATTAAAATGTTTATGTGAGAGAGCCAGTTCGATCGCTGATGGCGTTTATTATTGTCTTTTCATATTTATTTGCAATAAGCTGGCTTTATGCAATTTGAAACGCAAGGCCACAATATGTTGTATTCTGTTTTTTCCCCTAAATATGTGATTTTTTGAGTAGCTTGGTGCTTTTTATATTCTCGTTATTTATTTTTTTGCCGGAAAGCGGAGTTTGCCACGGGGAACGGGATGGAAATGACTGGAAACGAATGCTGTTTGTTTTCACGAGTCACAGCACATTCTCATGCTGGTAATGGGGTATCAGACAGCTTTTTGGTGCACGCTGCTGATGACATACATCATCGAAAGCACCATCCATATGAGTGCCGGAAAACGAGGGAGGGGAGAGAGGAAAGAGAGAAAGCAGGGGAAGTGAAAGAATGATAATGAGGGAGAAAGAATCAGACTTCTCTATGTTTTTTCTTCCCTCATTGGAAAGGGAAATATCCTAGTAGCTTTGTGTTGTCACTTCCATCATTGCTACTTCAGTGCCTTGCGCCACAATCTTTGGATCCATTGCATATATATGGCAGCACAGCCAGGAATTAATTTAAGCTGAAATGATAAAATAACATTGGTTTTGCCTTCTTTTACAGTTCTAGGTATTGACCGCATGAGTGTGAGATACGATCTCCAAAGTAATAATACACACATTTTTTTTAGCATATTTCAATGTAGTTGCAAAATCTCAAAGTGCTTCCACATGAATATAGGTGAAACATGGGAAATTACTGACACTGCCCTCACCTGGTTCAGATCCTATATCACATATAGACTTCACTTTGTTGCCCTTGGTGAGCAAAACTGTGCTATCAGTGCTGTTACACAAGGTGTCCCCCAGGGATCAGTCCTTGGCCCCCTACTCTTCATTATCTTTATTATACCCCTTGGTCAGATGACCTGCTATCATAGTCTTCATTTTTATTGTTTTGCTGATGATATACAGATCTAGGTCTGCACCAACACCACCACCAAACTGCCACCCCCTGCCCTAATATCTTGTATTCAAGACTTCAGACAATGGATGCAGAGTAACTTTCTACAACTTAACACTGATAAAACTGAAATTTGACTTTTTGGTCCTAAATCTGTAATTGCAAATTCCACTAACTTCATATTAATTTTGACTGGTAGACCCTCAAATGTAGTCCGTAAACTAGGTTTACTTTTTTGATCCTGTCCCTTTCATTTGAAACTTATATTAGGGCTCTGGTCAAAACTGCTTTTTTCCATCCATACAACACTGCTCTTCTTCACCACCTGCTCTCCATGAAAGACACTGGAACTCTGGTCCATGCTTTCATATCATCCTACTTAGACTACTGCAACTCCCTGCTCATTAGTGTTCCTTACGAAACTATCCGCCCTCTTCAGTATTTACAAAACCCAGCTGCTAGAATTCTCTCACTGTAAAAAATCAGCTCATATCAACTCAAGTCACACTGGTTACCTATCCTACTTTGTATCCAGTTTAAAGTCCTCCTGCTAACTTACAAATTTCTACATGGTCTAGCACCAGCCTGTTTAGCTGAGCTTCTGCACCCCTATTGTCCTGCCCAAACACTTATCTCCTCTGACACAGGTTGTCTAGCTGTCCCAAAATTTGGACTGGTCACTTTTGGAGATGTCATGGCCCGCAAACTATGGAACACATTTCCGCAAGGCATGTCCCTCACTTTCCTCCTTTAAACCTAACTCTTTTCTTAGCACTTTCACTCTTCTCCTCACTGAGGGTTTGTTTCTTTCTTGCCATGCCTTGCCTTGCCTTGCCTCTGTAAAGAGACCATGGGTTTGAGAAAGGCGCTGTATAAAGTTGAACTTATTATTATTAAAGATGAAAACACTATACTTTAAATGAAAATAACAGCACCAGTACAAACAAGGGAAAATGAGCCACAATGATTCTAGGCATATGCGAGCCTAAACAGATATCTGGATTAGAAAAAAACCTAACACTTATCACCTTTACAGAGTTTAGAAGCTATATTAGAAAATTACCTTCCACCAACTGAGCCGTAAGAGAACTTTTGCAGTTGCATTTGCAGTAAGCCTAAGTCAGCTGAACGAAGGTGTCTGGTCCGGTTATAATACTTAGCAGATCAGTAAGGTTTGCATTTAAGAGCTTTACGTGTACTCGATGCGAAAACTTAACAGGAAGCCAGTATAAACTGAATAAGATGGGAATCAGACTTTATTTTCCTGGTGAGCACACGGGCTGCTGCATTGTGAACCAGCTGGAGCTGATTCAGAGAAACAGCAGGGCAACCAGCCAGTAACATGTTACAGAAGTCTTATCTAGTAGCTATGAAAGCGTGGACTAATTTCTCAGCAGCTTGTAGGGATAGCATGTGTCTTATGTTGCTTATGGTAAAATGCAGCCCCACAGATCTTACAGATATTTTGAGAGGATTTAGAACCCAACAACAACTGTTCTGTTTTAACATGTACTTCAATTAGCTGTGTCATTGAATCTGGTTGGGCTGACACATATAACTGAGTATCATCAGCATAAAAATTAGTGGCATTATTTTGTTTTATGGACCATGCATCCAAGTAAAGAGAGAACAGTAAGGGCCCTAAAACAGAGCCTTGTTGAACACCATATTGTACTCGTCTATGTTTAGAAAATCCCCCATTTACACTGATAAAATAGTTGTACTTGGTAAATGCTGGGGAATTAGTTTGTGTATCGTGATGGTAAGTTCCAAGTTTAACTAACTCACTCTGAAATGTCTAACAGGTTCTAGTATTATCAGGGTAAATGTGAAGTACAATCTTCAAAGTACTCTGCAATTATTTGGGGTAAAATAGTGCCAAGACAATCTGACTAAATTATACTGAATTGAAACAGGTTCCAACTATTAAGTACATAAAAGACATTTCATAATAGTTTTGACAATGTTTAATTCACACTAAAAAAGGACTTCAAAGGACTCCTTGAGCAGTACCAAAGAAGAACCAGTGCCTCCCTAAAGAACCACGTTTGAAAAAGAAATTTGAGAGCGTGAAGCATCTTATACAGGTTTAAAGAACTTTCACATAATATAAAGGCTCTATACCGATTAAATCGCTCTTCCTAGAACCTTTATGCTAAGTGCCAGTTCTGAAAACTCTGAACAGATTCTTCACATTCACATCTCTACAGGGCTTTTAATTGAAAGGCTCTTCAAGGAACCAAAAGTGGTTATTTAAAGTCATGACAAAAACATTTCTTTTTTAAGAGTTTATGCAGAACTCAAAGAACCATTTCAATGCTTAAAGGTTAAATAGTTTTTGTACATGATAGAGATTCTGTTGTATATGTCTCTTTAGACAGCCATCTATATACTGTAGTTCTGCTATTGGCAAAGTTTTCTTTCAGCTGTTCATAATGTATGCATTCAGCCTATATAACCAATGGAAGAGCTGGAAGCTTTTTAGGTTTGTACAGAATTCTAAATTCTAAAGAGAGTACATAAGCTTCACACGTAGCCACTGATGTCAATTTGTCCATCCATCTCTTCCCAACAATAGAATGAATCACTTGCAGCAGAGGTCATATCCATCCATCCATTGATCCATCCATGCATACTTGCATCCATCCGCCTGATAATTGAGCTGTACAGTACATTGAGC